TACCCCACACATACATAGCCTTCACCATTGCCAGCATCCCTCTGCAAGTGGTACATATCACTTCATTTTTGTTTTAAATAGGTGTGCTTGCAATAACAGATACCCAAGTACAGGGACTCAAATACACTCAAGATTCATTTCTGTCTTGGATAGAAGACATCCAAAGATAGTCAGTACAAGGCTGGTAAGATGGCTCCATGTTCACCAAAGACCCAGTCTTCTCTTCTCTTTCTCCTCACCTTGGCTCAAAACTTCCTTCCTCAGGATCGATCATCTTACAGTCCAAAAAGGCTGCTGCAGCTCCAGCTCTCACTTCTGCATTTGGGGTAATAGGCGAGAAGAAACAGGAGGAGACCAAAGGGGCTTTTCTCAGTTCTCTGTCTACCTCTTAAGGAGTCTTCACACAAGCGCCATCCACCAAATTTTGCTTGTCCAGAAATTAGTGACATGATCACAGCCAACTACACAGGAAACTGGGGAATACGGTCTTTGGTGGGGACAGTATTTGAATAGTATTAGGGCACTGATACTATTTGGAAAAAAGGAAGAATGGATATTGCATTAAGCATGAGAAGCCTCTGCCACACCTGCTGTGTATGCTTCCATGTCTTTTCTTCAACCTTTCTATGTGCTTATGTTTTAGGCATGTATCTTATACGCAATAAGTAACTATGTTTTATGTTAATCTGTCTGGCCAATATAGTCTGTTTATGTTTACTGTGATGCTAATATACTTAGGTTTATTTGTAACATGTACTTTGTGATTCTGTATTCCTTACTTTTTCATGTTTTGTTTTTCTTTTTTCTCTTTTTCCTGTCTTTTATGAGATTAAGGTTTCTTTTCCCCATTTCTATTGGTTTGGATGCTGTTGAATCTCATTCTAATTTGTATTGGTTCTTAATTTTTTAACAATCATGCATGATTAGTCTAAAATTAATATTTTATCCCCCCCCCCAAAACAGTCCAGGGAGATTTTCTGATTACCCTCTTCTTAACTTACCTGTTACCGTGCAATGTCTTAGTTGTAGCTTGTTTTAAACTCACTTGATACTAGTCAATACTAATGTGATTTTGTTTTACAGTGATGCTTACTTGGATTTTTCTTTGTTGACCAACTTGCTTGCTCACCACTGCTGCTCTTATCCACTTCTTCCTTCTCCATGTAATTGCCCTCTTTTAAAAAAATATATATATATTTAAATTTGATTTAGTTAACATATCGTGTATTATTAGTTTCAGGGGTAGAATGCAGTGATTCGCCAATTACGTATAATACCCTGTGCTCATCACATCACATGCCCTCCTTAAGGCCCATCACCCACTTACCACCTACCCCCACCCACGTCCCCTCCAGCAACCCTCAGTTTCCTAGAGTTAAGAGTCTCTTGGGTTCGCCACCCTTTCTGTTTTTATCTTATTTTTCCTTGCCTTTCCCTATGTTCATCTGTTTTGTTTCTCAAGTTCCATATATGAATGAAATCATATATTTGTCTTTCTCTGACTCATTTATTTCATTTAGTATGATACCCTCTAGCTCCATCCATGTCATTGCAAATGGCAAGATTTTATACTTTTTGATGACCAAGTAATATTCCTGTGTGTGTGTGTGTGTGTGTGTGTGTGTGTGTGTGTTTGTGTACCACCTCTTCTTTTTTTTTTAATTTCAATTAATTAACATATAATGTGTTATTTGTTGCAGGGGTACAGGTCTGTGACTCATCAGTCTTACACAACACCCAGCGCTCATTACAACACATACCCTCCCCAATGTCTATCACCCAGTTACCCCATTCCCCAACCTCTCCCCCCTCCAGCAACCCTCAGTTTGTTTCCTAAGATTAAAAGTCTCTTATGGTTTGTCTCCTTTCTGTACCACCTCTTCTTTATCCATTCATCTGCCAAAGGACATCTGGACTCCTTCCATAGTTTGGCAATTGTGGGCATGGTTGCTATAAACATTGGGGTGCACGTGCCCTTGGATCACTATGTTTGCATCCTTTGGATAAATACCTAGTAGTGCAATTGCTGGGTTGTAGGGTACCTTCATACTGTTTTTAAGGAACAGGAGGAAACTCCATACTGTTTTCCAGAGTGACTGCGTGAGTTAATTATCATCTTTTTTGAGACCTCATTGAGTAGGTCTGGGAGTAGTGAACTTACTTGGGCTTTGCCTGGAAATATCTTTTATTTTACTCATCCCTTCATCATAGTTTGGCTGTGTATAATTCTACATAGAGAGGTAGTTTCCCTCAAACCTTTGAGGATGACATTCTCTTCTGTTTTTTGACGTTGCTATCAAAACCTTCAGTCTGGTTATTGTTCCTTTTTTGGAAATCTGTGTTTCCTCTCTGGTTTATTTTAAGATAAACTCTGTTTTTGCTGTCCACCGTTTCACTATGGCATGTTCAGGTGTACATTTGTTTTTATTTATCTGTTCAGGACATAGGTTTCCTGGATGTGAGGATCTGTGTCCTTGATGGTTTCTAGAAGCTCTTGGTTATTACTCTGTGTACTGACTCCATTGCTTCTAGTCCCTTACTGTGAGTAGACGCGTGTTGGATCTGCTCATTCTGTCCTCCATACCTCTCAGGTTCTCTTTCGTATTTTGTTTATCTCTCTCTGCTGGGTACTGGGCAGTTTCTTCACAGCATGATTCCAGTTTACTGATCCTTATTTCAGCTGGTTTATTCTACTTTTTAACCCTTTGTTCACTCTAGAGGGGGCATTTGGTTCTTTCTATTTCTCCTAATACCTCTTCTCATGGTTCTGATTGCTATTTTTGTTTATTTGACTTTCATCAATCTGATTTCACAATTGTTTAGATTGTTATTCTTTTGATTCAGATTCTTGCCTATGCTGGTCTGTCCTCATTTTGTTTCCTTCTGCTCACTCTAACAGGATTGTGTCTTGTCTGTTTTGTAATTTTAAAGATGTTATTTATTGTATTGCCTGGGTGGCTCAGTTGGTTAAGCATCTGCCTTCAGCTCAGGTCATGATCCCAGGGTCCTGGGATAGAGTCCCACATCAGGCTCCTTGCTCAGCGGGGAGCCTGCTTCTCTCTGCCTCCTTGTGCTCTCTCTATCCCTCTCTCTGACAAATAAATAATTTTTTTAAAAGATGTTATTTATTTGATAGAGAGAGAGCCAGAGAGTACAACCAGAGGGAATGGCAGAGGGAGAGGAGGAATGTTTTGTAATTTTAGATGGGGAGATGTCTTCAGGGTCTTGTTTTTTTTCTGAAAGGATTCCATGTGAAGAAAATTGACAGTGTCCCAAGGGAATAGTTTTGCATTTGTATCTGCCATTTGCTCAGGAATGTCACCAGCCTGGGATTTTAGACAAGTTTCTTGACTAGGCAGTACTCACCAAGTGAATTCAAACTTTGTGTGAGTGAGAGGTACAGCCATGGGTTTTTGGGTTCTCACAGAAGACTTCTTTTATCCCTTTTGCATTTCCTTCCATCAGTGGTAGGGGGAGGAGGAGTTCCTGGTAGGTGGGTTTGGAATTCTGGAGTCTCCTTACCTCACCCTGACCCTGGAGCTTTTTATTGAGGTACAACCCTTGGAGGGTCCTGGCCTCTATTCAGCAGGCTCCGTGACAGCACTCCTTTCTTAAGCCCAGGCCCTGTCTCCTATCCATGAGTTTGTGTTAAAACCCAAGGTCATGGGGCGCCTGGGCGGCTCAGTGGGATAGGTGTCTGCCTTTGGTTCAGATCATGATCCCAGGGTCCTAGAATGGAGCCCCACATCAGGCTCCCTGCTCAGTGGGGAGCCTGCTTCTCCCTCTGCCTGCCTCTCTCTCTGGCAAATAAGTAATTTTTAGGCAAACGAACTCCAGGCCAGAGATGTTTTCAGGCCCATCCCCCCTCAGCTGCGCTCGGCCCCTGCGCACGCTGCCCCTTCATTTCTGGTGCACGGGACCCCTTCCTTCTGTCTTACTATGCAGCCATGCAATGAAAACATTGGAGCACATTTTATCCAGCATTTATAGGTGTTGCTGGCTGCAGAGTTTCAGTTTTCACTTATCTCCTTCCCTTCTGAGCCCAGAACTCTAAATTCCTCTCCCAAAACCTCCTCCGTTCCCTCCTCTGTGAAGTCAGGACATCTCCATTGTGGGACTGTCAGGAGGGGCTCAATGGATAAAGCCCATAAAATGCTTGGCCTAGGGCCTGGCATATGGTAGGCAATCAGTAAATAGGAGTATCATCATCAATACTCCAGAAAATTTGGGAAGTTTGCAGAAGTGTAAGGAAAAGAAATATTGTACTGTGCACTGAAAATTGTGGTTCACACTTAAGAGAAGTCTAACTTATTCGCACGTACATCCACACTGCTGGTACTGTACATACCACCTGGTGTCTGCTTTTCCCATTTGGTCAGTGTCTTATTTGGGTGGGCTGCCCTAACAAAATACCACAGAGTGAGGGGCTTAAACAACAGACATTTATTTTGTCCCAGTTTTGGAGGCTGAAGTCTGAGACCAGGGTGCCAGCATGGTCAGATTTGGGGAAGGACCCTGTTCCTGGCTTGCCAGTGGCTGCCTGCTCTCTGTCCTCCCATAGCAGAGAGACAGCAACAGAGGGAACGCTCTGGTCTCCTTTACAAGGACACTCATCCCATCCTGAGGGCTCAGCTCTCAAGACCTCATCTCTCAAAAGCCCCATCTGCAGATACCTCACACTGGAGGTTAGGGCTTCACGTAAGAATTTGGGGGATACAACTCAGTCAGTAGCCGTCAGAATTCTCTACGGAACAGTGGCCCCTCAGTTTGGAAGCCTGTCTGGGATCTTTAACAAGAACGGGCTTATCAGATTCCCATTCTCCTCCGACAGAACCCACCTCAGCAGGAAGGGGCTGATGACACAGTGAGGCCCAATGTGTCTAGTTGGGGTCTGGGGGATCCGTTCTGAGTGTTTCTGCCAGAGACCAGCTGGCAGGCATCTGCCAGAGCTGAGCCAGCCCATCTTCTCTGCTCCTGCCCTCATATCCCTCTCCCTGCAGGTCGTCCTCATGGGACTGGAGCTTTCTCCTCCAGTCACTTTCCAGCTGCGGTCTGGCTCTGGGCCTGTGTTCCTCAGTGGCCAGGAACGTTACAGTAAGTCAGATCCTGGACCCGGGGAAAGTCTCAGAGTACCGTGCCCCGCACAGGGCCAAGGAGGGAAGAGGCACTCCAACGCTCGGGGGATTATGGAATTACTGGCGAAAATCCCCAAAGGCAGCGTGATTGCCAGTGGTCTGGACTGGAAGTCCTCCTTTACCTGCCGGCGCCTCTGGGCCACAGTTCCCTTGCCTAGAGCATGAGGGTGGGGTGTACTTGGTCTCATCTTCAAGGAGCAGTTGGGAGGGATACACGGGAAATTCAGGAACAAGTTTGCATGATGCCAAGTCCGACCCGCACTTGGAAGGTTAGCTGCCGTGAAGCATGGAGCTGGGAGAGTAATATGGGCCCCAGCCAGCCAAACTCCCTATGAAGGGAGCTGCTGACTCCCTTCATAGCCTCCTTTGTCCAGTTGTCCCTCCTCCCTCAGGGCACCGTCCTACCCCAAGCCCCTGGCAGACTCTGCTTCCCTCAGGATGAGGTCTGCATTCCTGAGCTGCTCCCTCTGCCCACCCTCGCCGCCGTCCTCTGGCTCCTTCCCAGCCAGAGCCACAGCTGGCCGCTTCCCCTGCCCTCTGGTTTCCCGGACCCCTCACCCCACCCAAGCCTCCACTTTGTCAGGCCAGAAAGGGTCTTGAGGAGGTGTCAGGTGCCGGCTTCCCCAGGGCAGCTCTGAGAACAAGACCCATGGCACGGAATGGGAGCTAGGTGGAGACCCTGAGCTCCGAGGCCCTGCCCCCTTTCCATGCAGACCTACCCTGGGAAGAGGAGGAGGAGGAGGAGGAGGAGGAAGAAGAAGGTGACAGCGAGGAGGTTGATGATGATGATGATGATGATGATGATGTAGATGTGTCCCTAGAGGAGGACACCCCTGTTAAACAAGTCAAAAGGTCGGCGTCCCAGAAGCAGACAAGCGTTGCCAAGGTGAGGGAAGGGACTCCCAGAGGCTCCTCAGAAACCCAGCCAGGCCTTTTGCACGGAGTGTGCCTGAGTGTGCCGAAGCCTGGGCAGGGCCGCCAGTTGCTCAGCCTGGGTGCTCAGCCCAGGTGCCCAGCGGGCATCCGCTCTGGCCCTGGGCCCCACCCTAACTGGCCCAACACCACTGTTTGGTTTCCAGAAAAAAAAGGTGGAAAAAGAAGAGGAGGCAGTGAGGTAACTCTTTCCATCTATTAACTTGGCCAAAATCTTGTAGCAAGGGTGCATAGGGCCAGAAAGGGCCTGGCCTATGTGCACACGGTATGAGTCCCCTGCCGGCTGCCACACCTCTTGGAAAAGCATGAAAGTATTCTTACCTTCTGACCTAATTCCACTATGGAGATTCCTTCCCAAGGATCCCATCCAAAATATGGGATTTTGTAAAATGATAGGCACCGAGATAGGCATTATTTAAGTAGTAGTAAAAATGGAAGCATTCTAAATGTCAACCAATGTACTAGCTGATTAAGCTATGTCACATTTTCCCAATGGAATGTGACCTAGTGTCTATGAAGAATATAGCATCCTGGAAAGTGTTTATAGAATTAAAAAAGACAGGAGAGTCACTTTCATGTTATTTCACATGTTTTTAGAAGAAAACAAAGCAAAAAGCCCAAAAGGAAACACACCAAAATGTTAATACTGGTAGGGAAATAAGTAACTTAATTTCTATTTGCTATATTTTGTGGCACTTAGTTAAACATTACTTTTTATGATGAAAAAGACCTATTTGTGATCGAAAAAAGAAAGCAGATGGAAGTCTGAGAAGAACAAGATATGTTGTTTAGAATAAGAGCGAGTCTGAGTGGTCCCCGGCAGGTGACAGGTGGAGAGGTGAATTCTGCAGCCCCCAACTCTCCCAGTGGGCACGAAGAGGGTCTGTGCTACTGGTGTCAGGCTGAACACTCTCTCCTTCCCACCCACTCCCCCTCCCTGCTCCACCCCACCCAATTCCAGATCCAGTCTTAAAGACAAGAGTCCTGTGAAAAAGGTGAGTATCGGAAGAAGGGCGGGGAGGGGGTGGCGAGACGGGCAGATGGAGGGAGTGGGACACGGGCACCCACCCTTCTCTCTGTAGGCCAAACCCACATTCAAACCTAAAAAGCCCGGATCCAAGAAATGAGGGGCCAGGAGGGTCCTGGCTGCAGTGACCGAGGGAGAGCCAGCTAAAGCACCGTGCAGGCTGGCCTTCCTTCCTCGGCACGTTCTGCAGGCTCCCCCCCCCCACCACCAGCCTCTCTCCATCTGAGTCTGCATGGGATGGAGCTATTAAGGGCGACACAAGAGACCCTCAGCCCAACGCAAGTTTCGGCAGGACCCAGAGGGAAACTCCAACCTCAGGGCCACAATAAAGTTTGCTTTGCCAGGACCTTGTTTCTGCCATCTGTTCGCAGGGGCCAGCCTTCTTGATGGCTGCAGTGAGCCCGTGTGCCCAGCAGAGGGCGGCCATGTGCCAGCTGGATTCTGCGCTGCTCTTCTCTCCCTCTCTTGTCCTCAAACTCCCACCTCCCCCCAGTTTTGTTGTGGGGGGAACCAAGTGTCTCAACCCCTTACCCAGCTTCAGCTCTCTGCCTCCGGCCTGAGGGGCGGAGCTCCAGCTGGTGTGGGTCTTCCTGTGTCCACACTCCCTTGTGGCTAGCCAGTTTTCCAGGTACCAAACCAAAGGGTGAGAGCCGCCCACCCTGCCAGGAAGGGCCTTGGCCCCCGTCAGACTAGCCTGAGGATCTCTCCTGGCCCTGATCACGTCTGTCAGTTGTCAAACACACAGGACATCTGGTGGAACCCAGGAGGGGGGATGCTAGCTGTGCACTCCCAGGCTTGCCTCCTGCTCAGGGTGGGCTCCTGCTCATTTGTGTGAAGCTCTGTGTCAGGCGAGAGCCCGGAGGCCTGCACCTCCGAGGAGACCCTTCCAGGCAGGGCACGTGAGTGAGGCAGCCTGTAGAGGGTCTCTCACAAGGGCTGGATGGGTGAACACTCTTAACTCCCGTGTGAGGAGGCTTCCCCCAGGACAGCGCCCGGAACCACGGAACAGGGCTCCCCAAAGTGTCTGGACTAGCAAGGGGGTGAATGACCCGAAGTCTGGGTCACCCATCATGACACACAGATGGCCCCCTACTTGGGCTTAATGCTCGCAGGCCCTCTGACTTCTTCCTGGCCCTCCCCTACACCCCTACCAACCAAACCTAAAGTGGGCCAATGGGAAAGATGGTCCTGCCTCTCTCCAGGATCCTGAGGCAGGGCCCCGGAAGGTGAGAGGCTGGCACGGGAAGGTCAGCAACCAGGCTTGCGTGTCCATGTTCAGCCTCAGTTTCTCTCAAAGCCAGAAGAGACAGAGGAGGGTAGGGCTAGCCTTCTTGCTTTTTGCTGTCTACATCCCCTGGGACAGATGTGGGCATCACCCCACCCTCTAACAAATGAGAATGAGCCACTGACCTCGGGTTACCTGGACAGTGCTAAGGTTTCACATCTGGCCCCAGGATGGTGGGCTGTAGGCATTTTCCATGGCTTCATGCCACAGTGACACAGGACAGAGGAGACAAATTCTTCACCTTTAAGTCTCATGGAAACAAAAGCCAACGACAAAATGTCAGTTACTGTCCAGTGCTTTGGAGGAAGTGAAACAGGCCAATTTCCGGGCTGGAGAAGTACTATTAGGAGATGAGAGGAAGTCCCCCCTCAAAGGAGAAGAGCGACAAGAAGCGGGTGGCAGGCGCCAGGAGTCGCTGGCATAAGGACACTCCCAGAAGCAGGGGCCAAGAATGCAAAGGGCCTGCGGCAGAGCAAGCTTGGAGGTCTGAACAAAGAGAAGGCTGCCGTGATTGCAGGAAGAAGGCGCTGGACGCCGTTAAGCCCTGTTTCTCAGACCTGGAAGATGAGGCCCAAAGAGGTGAAACAACTGGCCCCCAAGGCCCCAGAGCTAGAGGAGGGGCCAGGGTTCCCTCCAGCTCGTCTGGCCCCAGAGCTCTCTAACTACTCTGGCAGAGAGGGAGAGAGCGCACAGCAGCCCGAGTGCTAGGAAGTCTCCCGAACTGAAAGCAGTCCTTAGAATGAAGTCTGGTAGTTGGGATGGGCAGCCCCAGCCACTTCTAGCCCAGCAGGGGTTCGCACAGGTACTTCTTCCCTCCACCTCACCCCTGGCAAACGCCCCAGCAGTCTGGCTCCACCCTGAGTCTGCACAGAAGAGCGGGCGACAGCTACACGGACAGCTACGCCAGCCGCCAGCCGCCAGCCGATTTGATCTCCCGGTGCTGGCCGGCAGTAGGGATGGAGCAGCAAAGATGGAGGGCTCCCCGTCTTGGAAGGGTCCATTTGCCTTTTGCCCTGCCCCAGCTCCAGCCCTTCTGTTTTTCAACAGGAAAAGGGTGAGCTGGGGTCGAAGCAGGTGGTGACAAGTGGCAGGTCTGCAGGTGGGCTCTGCAGGCTCTGTGTCTGCACCAGCTGGGCTGTTAGAAGGAGCAGGCGTGAGACGCCTCAGTTGGGGGGTGTTGAACTTGGCACTAGGGGGTGGGGATTAACCAACGCAGCCGGGGCTACTTCTCACTTCCCTTATCACCTCCTGCCACCTCCCCCCATAAATGTTAATGAACCCTACCTTCTGCCTCCCAGCTCCCTCTAGTCAAGGGAGAGACTGGGTCAAAATGTAGGTAAACTGAGTCTGGACCCCAGAAGAGGATCTAGGCCCCTTGCCCCCATTCTTTTGATCCTTGATAATTTTCAGAGAGTGTCCACCTCAGCTGATGCTCACGGTGGCAGTTTTGACAACATTGGTAATGGCCATTTTCCATTTCCTTTTTACAAATTAGGAAGTGGGACCAGAGAAATGAAGAGATTACCATAGGTCACACAGCCCATAGAGGACAGGTCATGGGGATGGGGATAAAATCCATGGAACACTCTCCATGCTGCCTCCCCTCTTGGAAGCCAGCACTGGCCTTCCCAGTGGGGTCAAGGAGCAAGCTGAGTCAGGAGGCCCGGCCCATAGGTGCACAATGGGAAGGGACAAGGAGCAGGTATCATACCATAAAATAGGCTACCCACCCATGCCCTAGAGTCCCCCGGCCCAGGCCCCTGGCTGAGCCCCAAGGCCAAGCTTGACTGCTGGCATCTGTTACCATGGAGACCCAGGCCTGGCTGGGGGGCTAGCAGGTGACAACAAGCCCCTCCCCCACCGATAAGAACCAGGCACTTGGGCTCAGAAAACTGGGGCCCAGACAGCGCTAGGTGGCAATTCCCACACCTGACTCCTTAATTCATTGGGTCCACCCCAAGTCTGAACTACATCCTCCATGGGTCCATTCCCACCTGTCATCCCAGGAGTGAGGGCAGGAGGAGATAGCTCTGAGCACCCTACCGGGAGCTAGGAGCAGACAAATACGTGGGTGAGGTCCCTGGCTGCCCAGAGAAGAGAGCCAGAGCTGGCACCAGCCACAGTGGACAGGTGGACTTGGGCATTTCCTCGAAGGGGCAGAGTTTAAATCGGGCTGAAAGTGAACAAATAAAGAAAATGGAAATCATCAGGGGCACCAGCCTGGATGAAAGCAGAGGATCAGGACAGGGCGGCATGCATAGAAAATGCTGAGCACTGGACCGGGAGTCTGGGTACCTGGTACCTTGTCCGATTCACGTGCCACTCACTAACTAGCTGTGAGACCCTCCCTGGGCCTCATCAGTGAGTGAGGAGGCTGGACCAGATGAAAAATCTCGAAGAACCCTTCCAGTTTGGACAATATGATTCAAGTATGGTCCCAACCCTGGACTCCCCCAGTTACAAGGCTCCCCCCAACCCGCACTCCCCAGGCCAGGTCAGGCTGAACAGGGCCCTGAGCCCCGCTGTGCGGTGCCGGGGCGGAGCTGGGAGCCAGGTGCTGGAGCTGGACAGTTGGAGGTGGCCAGGAGGTGGCCTTGGGGCTTGTCTGGGGGCGGGGGAGGGGTGGCAGACAACTTTGTGGATTGATCTAGCTCAGGAAGGTGAGAAGGAGGCTTGGAGGTGAGAGTTTCGCTCTCCTGCTCATCTCTTTAGGTAAATATATCCACATCCAACATTTCCCCTTCTCTTTCCATCCTGGGGGCGCTTAGACCTCAGAGCCCAGAGCTGAGATGTGAGCTCTGCTTCCCTACATGGGGGCTTCCCTCAGAGATCCCCCCAAGTACAAGCCTGCTTCCACAGTCACCATCACCCGCCTTCTGAAGGAAAGGGACAGTTACAGTCCCCATCACCAGCCTCTGGGGCCTTGGATATCTTGGCCCAGAGGGCGTGGACACAGCAGAAAGGCTCCAGACGAGACCCACGTGGAACAGAAAGACCATGGACTTCAAGAGCCCAGTCCCACCGTTCACTGGCTGGGTCATTCTGAGCTAACCATCTACCAGTGTGTCTCAGTTTCCCTGTCTGTAGAATGGGGTAATACTGGTCCAATAACAGAGGTCACGTGAAGAGGCTGGTCCCACCACACAGCAGGGTGGGACCAGAGGTCATGTGAAGAGGCTGGTGGGCTCTTCATCCCAGGCAGGGGCTGGTGGGCACAGGGAGGAGGCCCTAGGGACGGCCACTGCCCCAGAGAGGATGGTGGGTGAGGCCCAAGAACGTGTTATTTTTGACATCTGCTCAGTGCGGTTATCTCATTTGGCCCTCTGACATTACTGTCCCCACTTTTTAGAAAAGTGCCCGGGGCCCAAAGAAAAGGAGCTTGTGCCAATGCATCAGCCCCTCTCAGAGCCTGTCTGTCCTGAGTCAGCAGGCCAGCTCTCAAGCCCACACTGGGTCCTCCCACAGCCCCAGCTGCACCTTCTCCCCCATCCCTGGTCCCCAACCTGTTGCACCCGCTATTTGCTGCCAGTCGGGGCGGCCTTGACACTTCTAACCGGGTGGCCAGACCGCAGAGAGGGGGAGCCAGGGGTGACAGAGGCAGTGGAAGCCAGCGCTCCTAGCCAAGCCCACCGCCTGCCCCCTGGAGGGAGGCTCCTCCTTTTAAGGCTGCTTCTGGGAATTTCCACCCCCAGAGCCAGACTCAGCAACCCCTGGCCCGGGAATGATACCTGCGCTCACCCTTGGGGAGGTGGAGCGCCAGACCTGAGGGCAGGAGAAGCTGGACCCTAGGGAACGGAGGCGGGGCCCTCGCATCCAGGTCTGAGGGTCAGGGAAAACGTGGGAGACCACGGAGTCCAGCCTCCTTAGCCAGCAGCTCCATCCTCTGTGCGCGGGCAGCCCCGCAAGAGGCTGGCAGCCCCCGCCAGCGGCTGCTTTGCCCGCTCACTGGCCAGGAAGGTGGACACCTCACACCTCAGTCTCCCAATTACGCCCTCCTCCCCCACTCCTCCTCCCCTCCCTCTCTCTCTTCCTCCTCCCCTCTCTCTCCTCCTCTCCCCCCTGAAAACCTGTGGCTTGAAGAGACCTTGGCTTCTCTGGGACTCTACCCCTCTCTACCCCTGGGGACTGCCCATATCTGCTCCTGAGTTTGGGGGCAGGGAGGCCACCACCCCCAAGGACTCTCTGCGGCGATGGGAGCCACCTGCCTGCTGCCCCACGTCACTCTGTAAGTGTGCTGCCTCTCTGGGTGGAAGTTTAGTTGCCCTTTCCAGCCTGGGGCAGACCTCGTTTTATCGGGACTCCCACCCGGAGGGGCGGGAGGAGGGGTGTGAGGGGAGGGTGCCTGGGTGCTCATCCTGGGTTGACTGCTGGCACCCACACCAGGGTCTGCCTTGTCTTCCCACACAGGTGCCTCCAGCTACTGATTCTCTGCTGTCAAACTCAGGTAGGCGGGTGCCCCCCCCCCACTAGCTGTTCCCTGTCTCCCCCACCCCACCCAGCTTGGCGGGGGGGTAGTCTCCTCTTGGTGGACAGAGGCAGGTTCTGGCCTCTCCCTGGATCCAGGGTTTCTGAGGTGGGGAGTGGGTGGAGGTGTCAGCCTTTGGAGGCGGGTAGAAGGGACTAAGGCACATTTGGGGATGCACTGAGGTCTTTATCTGTCCTCCCTCCATGACCCTCCCTATCCCTACTTGTCCTGGAGTCTCTATTTCTCCCTCTGTACTGCCACACGGGTTCCGCCCCCCTCCCCCAAGGCTAACCGCCCAGGCTTGAGGGATGGACTCTGGAGAGATGGATAGAGGGCAGAGGTGCTGGCTCAGGTGAGGCTTGTACTGGGAGCTACCTGAAAACACAGGTTTCCATGCAAAACCACTTGTGCATTCCACTTCCTACCCCACTGCCCCCATCACAGATGTCCCAGGGGTGCGCTGCCCTGGGGGACTTCGTGGGCAGTCCCAATGCCCAGCCAGGGCGGGGTGACTCCTCACCTACAGTGCAACGAGGTCAAGCCCAAAGAGGTTTGTTTGGGACAAGATTCAGGGTTTGCATCTCCACACTCCCCCCACCCCATGCCAGCGCCCCCATGCACACCCCCCACCCCAAGCCTCAGCCCCCTGTGCGAGGCTCGGTCCCTTTTTGTGATCCTCCATAAAAGTGCAGCTATTAAAATGCACTGGTCCAGAACCGCTCTGGGGAGAGATCGCTTGGCTTTCCCAGGCCAGAGGCCCGCTTCTCTTCATATCCAGTGGGGACTTTTTTTGAAGGTAAATGCCTTTTCTCTGGGAGAGGGAAAGGGGCTGCCTTTGAAGCAGTGGGGGGGTGGGAGAGAGAGACAACTCCCCCCCTCTTTTCCTTCCCCCTTTTGCTCTAGCCCCCGTTCCAGGCCTTTTGCTTCACACATCCAGGGAGAGCAAGAAGAAAGCCCCCAGCCTGGCTGGGAGGGGGCTGGGGGTGGGCCCAACCTGTTCTGGAAGGGGAATTAGCACAATGGTGAGGCTGGCCGGGCGTTTATGGCCTGGCTGAGGCCCCATTCAGGACTCAGGGAAGGTGGCAAAGCTGTCCTTTCCCCCTTGAAGTGCCCCCTCACCCCCCTGGAGGGGGGGCCAGCAGGCCGGACCATAGCCATGCTTGAGGGGCTGTCTGACAAGCAGCTGTCTGCAGCAGTGGAAGGGGAGGTCCCCCCGCAGCGGGAACATGAAAGGGACAGGCCAGGTCCCGCGGGGAGAGCGACTTGTGGGCTGTGGGGCTGTGGGGGGGGGCGTGGGGCTGCTTTTGTGCAGGGCCTGAAGGGGGACAAGGAGAGGAGGGGGCTTCAGGGGGGCCCTCTCTGCTCCTGACCTGGAACAGACAGCCAGAAGGAGGCTGCCCGCCAAGAGGGGCGGAGGGCCTGAACCTGGGCCAGGAGGCTGGGGGCTGGGGCTGGGCTGGACCCAACTGAGGGTCCCAGGCCAGCTAGACCCACCCCCTGGCAGGGAGGCTAGCCCCCTCCCCAAATGCTGTCCTCGGGTTTTTCCAGGGTGGGGTGCGGGGCGCACTTTGCGGCTCTGAGTCTCCAGACCCTGCTGTCATAGGTGGAGGTGCTGGCGGCACTTCTGGCCAGTGGCCGAGCTGCAGTGGGAAATGAGCAGTGACACACACGAAGGGTTAACCCTGAGCAGGTTACAGGGTCAGCCTGGAGCCACCACAGCACTCACCACCCCCTTCCTCAAAGCTGATCCTTCCAGTTCCTGCTCCTCCCTCTGCAACAGAGGTGGCCTCCAACAGATGCTGATCTGGGTCCAGGTCTGTCTCAGTGGTTGTGATTGGGCCTGGTATAAAGGTGGCCTTAGGGACCTGGGCCAGGGAGAGTGGGGCCAGCAGGATCGGGTAGAGAGAGAAACATTTGAGCCTAGGGTTGAAGCTGTCACCAGCAGTTCAGAAATGGCATCTGGTTTGCACCTCACTGGAGAGAGAGCAGGAAGTGGTGTGGTTTTCTCCCACTCAGTGTTGCAGATAGGTAGGGAGAGACTGGGCCTGGAGATGGTGCTCGTCCTGGCTTTGCACCATGCCTGGGTGGAACCTGGAAGCTGGTGGCAACAGTGCCCCTACTGGCCACCAGCCTCGGTTACGTTGGGGCACAGGCAGCCTGGCACCTCCCGGGAGCGCCCCTGGACCACGCTGCTGGCTCCTCCTGCTGCTGCACCCTCCATGTCCCTCACCCCCAGAGGGACAACACTGAATGGTGGACGGGCTCCTCTGAGGGTCCTGAGCATCCGGGGGAGGGGCAGGGGAGTCATGCAGAAGCTCAGGATCCCACCGTTAGTGCTGAACTTGGGTTCCATAACTTTGAAGGTTCCTTCTAGCAACCAGAGTCACGATTCCAGGTCTGCACTAGATCACAGGTGTCCCCCAAGCCTGGGCAGATGGAGAGCCAAGAGATCATGACCTGCTCACCCACTGGCCTGGGAAGGTCCTATGTCCCCGTCCCCAACACCTCTGCTTCCTAGGACCAGTGGCCTGCCCCATCACACTCACCTCCACACCCCTCTCCCCTGGATGGACCAGTGGTGGTGTCACCCAAAGCAAATTGACACTATTTTTCCCTTGGTAACCGCAAAGGGGGAGAATCACCCGTCTCCTAATTTTAACCAGTACGTGAGGGACCAGGGTGCCATGACCGACCAGCTGAGCCGGCGGCAGATCCGAGAGTACCAGCTCTACAGCCGGACCAGTGGCAAGCACGTGCAGGTCACCGGGCGTCGCATCTCTGCCACCGCGGAGGACGGCAACAAGTTCGGTGAGACCCAGCCCTCACTGGAGGCCACTCACACCACTGGTGGCCTAAAAGATCCTATGCCCAGGCACGGGCCCAAAGTGGAAGAGCCTCCCGGTGCCCCCCCACAACCAAAGTTGGGAGGTCAGGCTGTCTGGGGGGCCCCCTGCCACACCCCTGAGCCCACAACTCCCACGGACAGAGGTCTTTCTCCCCCTCCCCATCACAGCCAAACTCATAGTGGAGACGGACACATTTGGAAGCCGCGTGCGCATCAAGGGGGCTGAGAGTGAGAAATACATCTGTATGAACAAGAGGGGCAAGCTCATTGGGAAGGTGAGAACTGGAAGGAGGGCGAGGGAAGGAATGAATCAATCTTTCTGCCTGCCCCACAGCACCCCACTCCCCTCCCCTGGGCAAAAGCCAAGATGACTTCTATTCACACTCCAACACTCTGCCACTCTTGTTTCTCCATTTAAATGAGACACTTACTGATCCCTAAGTGTCTTGGGCTCCAATTTACAGGCAACGTCCAATCAGGGAGTCAGGATTTAGCACCTTCATGAGATTGCAGACCCCGTGTTGAGGGTCAAGTGCTGATCAGGGCTGAGAGTGGGCATTCATACATGGCCACAAGCTCCCCCAAGTTCAGTGGGGTTCACAGGATCCCTCTAAGCAGACGGCACATGAAGGGCCTACTAGTGTAAGCACCAGCTGGCGTGAGCTCTCGGGCAGGTCCAGCGCTGTTGCGTAGGGAGAATTCCGTTTCCTTTAGCATTTGTCAATCCTGGCTTCTGGTTCTGGCTGTTCTCACCAAATATTTGCTGATTTCGGTCAAGCCTCAGGCTTCTCGTCTATAAAAATGGGCATAGGGTCAAGGTTTTGGATCGGGCCAAATGGATGACCATGTGGCTTCTGACATAGTCCTTATTCTGTAGACAGTTGCCCATTTTTCTCCTCAGACTGTTGCCTCCTTGGCCTCCCCCCAACAGTTACCATGCTATACCACTGGCTAAACACCATGCTCAAGGCGTACAACTTCCAAATGACAAACCTGTATTCAAGTTCAGATCTGACTCCCAGCAAACCTTGTTCCCTTCTCCCACTTTTACCTCTCCAACAAGGGCACCCACCTCCCCAGGCAGAAACCCCTGGGCACACAGGCCCCTGCCGCTCCCTCCTTTGTCCCACAAAATTGATCCAAAAGTCAGACACCCCAGACAGGTTGGGTGGACGAACACCCCTCCTCTCTCTCCCTCCCTCCCTCCCTCCCTCCGCAGCCCAGCGGGAAGAGCAAAGACTGCGTGTTCACGGAGATCGTGCTGGAGAACAACTACACAGCCTTCCAGAATGCCCGGCACGAGGGATGGTTCATGGCCTTCACGAGGCAGGGTCGGCCCCGCCAGGCTTCTCGCAGCCGCCAGAACCAACGAGAGGCTCACTTCATCAAGCGCCTCTACCAGGGCCAGCTGCCCTTCCCCAACCACGCGGAGAGGCAGAAGCAGTTCGAGTTCGTGGGCTCAGCCCCCACGCGCCGGACCAAGCGCACTCGGAGGCCACAGCCCCTGACGTAGTCGGGGACACTGGGGGCAGCTGCCCCTCACCAGCCTTCCCATCCCCTTCCCTTCCTAATCCCAAGACTGGGCTGGGGTGGAGGGAGGGGAACCAGAGCCCCCAAGGAGGACCGGGAAGACCAACCAGCGTCAGAGCCTCGAGCCGGAAAGGGGCGGGACTGCCACAAACCAGCGCTGGGGCCTCGGGGCAGCCGCCCCAGACCCCGCACTGAAATAGGGGGTGGGGGTGGGGCAGACCCCCAGGCGAGGAACTGTAGTGTTCCCTCGGACGCAGGCTCCCTGAAACAGGTGGAAAGGGCAGCAGATTCAAGGCCCTGCAGACACGGTCCAGAGGTGGTTCTCTTTAAACTCTGCCTGCGGAGTCTTCCTCAGTCTGCTCCCAGCCTCCACATTCCTCCTGGCCAGACTGTAGGAAGGGACTTTTGTGTTTGTTTCACGAAAAAAGAAAAGGGGGGAGAGAGAGAGAAAGAGAGAGAGAGAGATGGCCATTCTTCACATTCCACTACCCAGGCCTGCACCCCCATCCCCAATTTCGAGTCCCAGAATAAAACCATTTTCCTGCAAACGGGTTATCTGAAGGTGGGGTGGAGGGATCCAAGTCCCAAACCGCGGGGATAACAACCTTGCCTCTCGGAGCGGCGCGGACCAGAACCCGGACAAGGCGCGCGGCAGGCCCGTGGCCCGGGTCCGGGCGCGACCCGGCAGGTGGAGGGGCGGTGCGCGGGGCGCGAAGGGCAGCGCCGCCCGCAGGGGAAGCGGGGGGTGGGTGGCCCCGGGAAGGCCCGGCACCTCCGCCCCGCGCGAGGCTGGCGGCCCCGGGGTTGGGCCCAGGGCCCGGGACCCACGGGCGCGCCCCTCCCTCCGCGCGGGCTCCGGTTTCCTGGCTGGCACGGCGCGTCCCGTGCTACCTGTTGGGGCGAAGCAAACCCAAGCCCTTGGGCGGGCGAGCCGCCGGGGCCGGGGCCGGGGCAAGAGGCCCGAGCGCCCGCCAGGGCGGCCGGAGGACGCCGCAGCCTCCTCGCCGGTAGCCGGATTGCTGTTTTCCGGTGAGGAGGGGGGAGGGGAGGCGGGGGGGTGGGGGCGGAGGGCTCGGCCGAGCGGAAGGGGGAGTGAGGGCGAGAATGCGTCCTCTTGTTCCCCGGGTCCCCGCGGGGGGCGGGGGCGGGGGCCACACCTGAGGGGAAGTCGCAATTAGAGGCGGCGGGCTGGGCCGCGCGGCCCTGGGGGGGAGGGGGGCCCGCGGCCGGCGGGTTAGGGGCCCGGCGCCCCCTCCCCCGCCCGGGCTTCTCGGGTGGGCTTTCCCAGACGCCTCCAGGTGTGCTTTTGGGGAGTGAACTAAGAGGCCATAAAGGCTGCCTCCTTCCTCCTCTGCGCTGGCTTTTAATCTTGTAGAGGGGAAAGCCCTTCGCTAGCAGGCTCCCCGCCCCAGCCCGCTCTTCTGTCGTCGGACCCCCAGCCTCAGTTTCCCCTTCTTCTTTCGGCAAAGCTATTAGAGGGAAGTGTTGTGGAGAGAGAGGGGGGAAAGGATGAATAGACCTCCCTTCTCCCCGACTTTTCCCAAGAATGGCCTAAAAATAAGGACCGATTGGGAAGTCGGGGAGGAGCCTGGTTCGGTCAAAATGGGAGGTGGGTGAAACAGCAGTCGGAGTCGGTGGGGGTTGGGGGTCCCTCGCCTCTCCTTCGGTGAGGACTGGAGCGGTCTGACACCCCCAGCTCTGAGCAGGTTGAAGGCAGCAGCCAAGAGGGAGGTCCCCCAGGCCCCGGGACAGACATTCTCCCCCAGCTTGTCATCAGTGCTTTGCACCAGGTTGCTCTCCCCCCACACACACATCACAAAGAGCCTTAATCCTGGTGAAGACTGCGGGAGATGTGTTGGGGGTGGTTTTCTGGGGGTTGGGGGGTAGAGAGGGTGGTCCGGAGCCACAGCTGATAACGGGTGAGTTCAATGGGATTTTAAACACAGGGGCAACACCCAGCAATTACCTGAGGACAAAGGGTTGGGGCCCCCAGGTGTGGAGGTCTGGACTTGGGGGGCAGGGGTAGGAGGCTGGGGAGGAGGTGTGTTGGCGAGGGGGGCTCTTACAATCCTGCTGATTTCCGCAGGAATTTAAGACATTCTTTAAAACTCTAGACTGCCTCCCCCCAGCCGGCTTCTCAGACCCACCCCACCCTCCCTGGCTGGGTTAGAGACGGCTTCAAAGGTGGACCGGGGCCCTTTGTCTTGCCTCTGCTTTCTTCTCCGCCTTTCTCCTGCCTCTCCCTCCCTCTCTCTGACCTCCCCAGCACAGACAGGCCTCTGGGGGCCAGCTCCAGAAAGCCCTCACTGTTTCCTTTCTTGCTTTCTGAGGTGAAACCTGGTGAGGAGGGACTGGGAATGGGCAGGGTGAGGGAGGAAGGCGGCCTCTGAGGCCTGTGCCATCTCAGAGTGACTCGCCTCGCCCCGCCCTGAGTCCCGAGCCCGGAGCCTGGCACGTCTGACGCCTGCTGGTGGCCTTGGGTCTCAGGCTTGGCTCTCTGAACCCTCTTACCACACCTTTTCATGCCTCTGCCAAGTCCAGGCTCCATACCCAGAGGGCCTCTTCATACTCTGGGGAAGTCTGTTCTGCTCATTCCCCCAAACTCGGGCTGATTTCAAAGATGCTGAAAGAAACAGGCCAAAGGAATGGATCTCGGATCATGGAGTCTCGAGGGATTTAACATGGGTAGGGGAGGGAGAAGGCTTCCTTGAGGACCTCGGACCACCCCACAGCTGCCTGCAGCAATCCCAGCTGCTTCTATGTGCCAGAAGTTTCTAAGCAAGTGTGCAAATGGGGGTGGACACCGTGGGGGAAGACTTAGGCCAAGACGAGTGCATCCATCTCTGGGAGGATGTGACCAAGTGGAGGGAGGCGGCAGCAGGTGCCTCAGATCCTGTGCTGGTCAGGATTACCAAGACCTCCAGTTAAGAACAGCCCGCATACAGATTTCCCCTCCTCTGTCCTGTCCTCCCAACAGCCAGATGAGGCAGGGGGCGGAAATCCACTCATTTTCTAGTCCCTGCAAGCTGGCTTCTATTAAAGTCACTATACTGAGCCCCATCCCTCATACTTCAGTGGCCAGTGAGCTCCCCGGCCTCAGACCTAGGTGTCCTCTGCCTCACAGCCCTGGATCCCATGAAGGACTGTCCCTTTTTGAAGCTCTTTCCTACCTCTTCATTCTCTGTCACTGGGACCTTTCACTTCCCTGGCTCCTCTTCACAGAAACATTGCCTAAGATTTCTGCCTTTCTCTTCTTGCCTTGTTCTTCCTGCTGAGTCTCTCCTAGCAATGCAGCACGTCAGCCATCATCCCCTTGCACACCACTGCTTTCTCTCCCACACTCGGAAACTCTGCACCATTGCCAAACCTCGCTAGGGTCTGTCTCAGTTACTACAGTAGCTTTCCGAGTCCTGTCTCTGCCTCCCGACACCCTCACCCCCTCCAGGACATCACACGTTTCACTCATCCTACATCACCCTAAACCGCAGCTCTGCCCACATTATGCGATCCCCAGTGGACTTCTTAGCTCCTGTACAACCCCACTCAGCCCTGTCCCTATGAGTCCCCTCCAGGGGCTGTGGCAAAACAGCAGCCCTTGCCATTGGGCCAGCACCCCGTGCCCATCTTTGAATATGAGGTTCCTGCTGTCCAGCACGCCTTTCTCCAGAATGCTTGCACACCGAGATCTCTGCTGTCTGTTGTGCTCCGTACACCTGCCTCCTCTCTTGGGCTAGCAGTCGCCTGTGGTGCCACGGGGCTCTCTGGCTGCCCACTTGCCCTGGCCTTATGGCACATACCACAGCTTGTCCAGAACTGTCCTTATTCCTGCTTGTGGAATGGTTATGCTAGAAAGCAAGTGCCTCAGACGTAGAAGTAGTCGGTGTTTGCCTCCCCCATAGTCCCCAGCGCAGGGCGTTACACAACAAGTATTTATCGAGGGAATTAAACCAACTGAAGGTTGAGAAAGAAGCCCTTGGCCCAGTACCTTGCAGTCCCTCGAGATGGAGGCAGAATGAGAACCAGAATCCTGCCTCCACCCTCCATCCTTAGCGGGACTTGGGCAGGGACGGGTCCTAAGCAGTTAATCCAAATACTTATTTACTCCCTACAATGTACAAACACTGCGCTAGCCCTTCAGCAAACAAAAAAGGTGGACAAGATATTGTTTCATCCCCTGTCAAGATCTCAAGACACTTGAAATTTAAGGACTTCTGGAAATCTCTCTCTCAAACCTAAAAAGATAGCAAAGTGGCATTTGGTACATCCCAAAAGAGGGAAAAAGGAGACAGGAGCTATTGGAAATAAGGACACTGATACACACGGAACTCCGGAGATGCTCCAGGCAGTATGTGAGGCATTCCCCCATATAACCCCTTCCTCAGGGGGTGACATTGTTCCCATATCATGTGTGAGCCAGCGCAGACTCAGAGAGATGAACTCATCTGTGGTCGAAGCTAGTGAGGGTTACCGTCTAGATTCTTGCCTTTCTTGATCACCTGAGTGGGATGGTCTCCACTTCCAGCCAGGCACGGTGGGTTCAGGGACGGGAGAGTGCATGGGGCCAGGGCTGGGGTTTGCATGATCTTTAGGGATGAGCAAGATTTCAGGGGCGCCTGGGTGGCTCAGTCGGGGAAATGTCCGACTCTTGATTTTGGCTCAGGTCAGTATCTCAGGGTCCTGAGATCCACATCAGGCTCCAAGCTCAGTGGGGCGTCTGCTTGAGATTGTCTCTGTCTCCCTCTCTTTCTCTCTCCCTCTGCCCCTCCTCGCACCTCTTACAAAATAAAAGAATGAGCAGGATTCCAGTCCACAGAAAAGACAGGCAAGGGAAGATACTGACAGGGAAAACAGCATGAGAAAAAAGGCTTTGAGGCAGGAAGATGTGAGGCGCATTCAGGGGAAGGTGAGCAGTCCATGGGTTTGGCTAGAATTGTAAGTTTGCCTGGAGGAGTGGCAGGGAAAGATTGGGTCACATTGTGGAAGGCTTTGTGGTAGCATGGGCTTTGAGAAAGAGAGTGACCTTGCAGTCGTGGTGTTGGGGTTTGGGGGGAGGCTGGTCTGGCGGCAGCGTGCTGGGAACTGAGGGTCTGGGGTCCCTGAGGCAGATGGCCCAGTGTACAGAGGTGGGGAGCGTGACTTCTGAACTCTTGAGAAAAGGTCTCTGCTAGTTCCTCCTCCTTCCTTTTATTCCTGTGGCCCAGTTCTTTGTCAGCTTTCCCTTCTCCTTAGGTGCCTAGGTGCCCTTAGTCAGCCTCCCCAGGAGTTAATGTTTAGATGGCCCAGGCTTAGGGGAGAGTGTCTGGTGCTCCCAGCCCTAGCAGGCTGGTGCATGGGGCGGGGCGAGGGGCAATGGAGTGAGACTGAGAGAGGAAGGAAGCCTATTGCCAGGCCTGGCGGAGGGGGCTGGCGGCAGGGCCAGAGTCCAGTCAGGACGTCCGGCACCAGTGCTCTCGCTGCAGAAAGGAGCCAAGAACTATGTGTCTGGGCCCTGGGACTGCCTGCCTGAGAGGGACGCAAGGAGCCATCCTCAAGGCCTCCAGGCACTCCTGAGCTTAAAGGTATGCTGGTCCCCTCAGCTGCTGGGTATGGCCAAGCGGTGCCCAGGAAGCCTACCCTGGGTCCTGGACAACAGGCACTGGTGTCCAGTGTTGCCTGCTTCTGGGGGGAAGATTTTGCCTCCCTTCTCATCCCAGCCTGAAAGGAAGGCAGGTAAGCGACTGGGCAGGGTCGTCCGCCTGCCCTGAGGAGGCTGGGGCCTTCTCAGGAAGAAGGGTCTGGTGGGCCAAGCAAGTCTCACTGTCGGCCAAGACCAGAGGGGACGTAGAGGGTAGAGGGGGCACACGAAGGGTGAGAGAAGGGTCTCCTGGCCTGGCTGTGCCCTCCCCATGGGCGGGTGGGGACACACACACACACACACACACACACAGACCCACACACACCCCCCATCCCTCTCAGTTAAGGAATGACCTTGACAGCCAGCACACCTCAGGCCGACAGAGGGAGCCCTAACTCCGCAGTCGCCTTGTTCCAGGGCTGGCTGGAGGCAGACTTCGGGCGCAAGGTAGCTTTCCCACCCTGTGCAAGGGCATTCCTGTAGAGTGGGCTGCAGCGGGAATGGGCTTTACAGGATTAGAAGACTCTCCTCTTGGTCAAGGGGAATGATAGTGTTCAGGGCTAGGAGGAGGTGCTCAGAGAGAGAGCTGAGGTCAGATCGGGGGCAGAATTCTGGGCCCTCAGCCCCATGTCCACCCCAGCCATGATCAGGGCCTTGCCTTCCTGCTGGAAGCCACCCTCTGACCCTTCAACAGAGGTCATCCCTCCCTGTTCCTATCGCTCTTCCCCAGCTGCACACCAAGCTTTCTGGAATGGGCGACACTGCCCAGGGCTGCCTCTGTCTGCAAGTCCGGCCTGCTATATGGCCCTGAATTAGGGCTGTCCTGAGGTCGCCCTCAGGGGCCAACCCCAGAGCCTCATGGAAGGGGTTAGGGGAGACTCAGTGGGAGCCCTAGCCCTGCAGCTCCCCCACCCCCACCCAAGGCAGCCCTCAGGCTGCCTCCCTCCATCACCGAAGAGGCAGTGGGAGCCACAGCCGCCTCCTCCCCCCTCCCTGCTGCTGCCGAGGCTGAGCCGGCAGGTTGTCTTGGCAACGGGAGGCGGAGAGGAGATGCGCGGAGGGATGGAGGTGTATGTCAACGAGGAAGCTGCCGTGCTCCTGCCCCACGCCCCAGGCCCCTGAAGGTACCGGAGAGCCCTCCCCTCCCCCTCTCCCTGCCCTCTCCCCTGGCTTCCCCCACTCTATCCGATGTGCTTCTTTCACAGAGAATGTTCCCCTCCTCCCCGCCCAGCGACTCCTAGCCATTCCTCATGAGACACCTCATTCCAGGCCCCTGTCCACAGCTGTCCTTCCCCGGGACAGCTCATCCCTGCCCTACCTCTGGCCACCCTTGCACCAGAAGACAAATCTCCTGGGGTGGGGTCTGCTAGGGGGCGAGCGGGAGCAGGTCAGGAACCGCGGTAGTGGGAAAAATCAGGGGTCCTAACAGGCTGTGGTGGAAAAGCACCTGGTGCTTGGTCTCCCAGAACGGTGGCAGGAGGTTGTGCACAACCGGCCGGGCGGGGCCGAGGCAGTGAGGGTGGGCTTGAAGGCAGGAAAGCGGAGAGGCTGGCTGAGACCTGGCTGGTTACCCATAAAGGCCTGATTCCCCCTCCTCCAGGGCTTGGCCCCTCTTGCCACATCAAAGGTACACCCCCTCCCGCATCAGGTCCTGACCTTTTTCCCCCTAATTAAATGTTTCTTCCCAGGCTTTCTGGTTCTTTCCTACGAGGCCCTCTCCCCAGCCACTCCCCAGCAGCTAAGTCTGAATTCTTTCTAGCCTTCCCCATCCATTCAGCTGCCTGCCTTTTTCATTTCTCCTTTCTCGCTGGAGCCCATCTTCTGTATGCATTCGTTTGTCTTCCACGACCCCAGACATCCTTCCCTTCCTGTCCCTACCTGTCCCTTCCTGTCCCCTTTTCTTTGAGAAAGAGGTCTGGGGTACACTCTCACCGGTCCCCCTCAAACCCCTTCCCCTGTGATTTTCCATTCATATACCCCAGAGCCCCCTCCCCAGATTCTACATTTCCCCAAGGACAGCTCATACCATCAGCTGACCGGCTGTGGGCAGCGGTTACCAGGGCAACAGCAAGGTCTGCCTAGGTAGGCAAGTCTGCTGTGAGGTGGAGAGGAGGCTGGGGCCATGGCCAGGGTCAGCGGGCTGGGCTCCCTGCCCTGCCCCCAGGGATCACAAATGAACCAGGCTCTGCTCTGAGCCCAGGGAGAAGCAAAGGGCCAATGGCAGGGTCCTGGATTGGTGAAGGTTTTCCCACTCAGGGAAGGCACATCCTGTAGTCCTATGCTGGGACTGGGCCATTACCTGGCAGGAAAATGCCCTCCCGATGCAGCTGCCCTGGCGAAAAATGGGGTCCTTCTCACAGTTCCCAGGGGCTCTGGGTGACCGAAGGGCCAACCCAATCTCCCAGGCTGAGGACGGGGTTTCTCAGATCCTCCCGCTCATGCCTCACCAGGAGGGAACGAATCCTTCCTTGGATGACAGATTCAGGCATCTTTGCCCTCTCCCTGCCCCTGAGTATCTGTGCCCTCCAGCACCCCAGGGAGGCAGGGCCCCCAGAGATCCTCCGTGGCCACTTTCGGGTTTTGAGGAGGAGACGCAGGTGCTGGGAGAAACCAGGTGTCATCCCTGGGTTATCAGCAGAGCCCCCTTTGGCCCCGACCCCAACTCAAACTCTGGCAGTTTCTGAGGAGGCTTGAGGGGCTGTGTGTGTGTGTGTGTGTGCGCGTGCATGAGTGTTGCAGGGCTGGGGCTATACGAAAGGGAAAAAGGCCAGCAGCTCGTCGCGCCTGCTTCCGATTCTGCTTCGTCATGATGCCTGGTTAATGCTACTCTTGTTCGAAATGGACTGAGCTGCATCGAGCGAGGTGGAAGAGCGGACACACACAGACACACACACAAACGCACACACCCTCCAGCCGGCTGCTATCAGCTGGAGGTGGGGAGGGTGCAGCCCGGGGAGCCAGTGGCCCGCCTCACCAGCCAGACGCAGGCTCCACGCACCCGCTCCGGAGAAGCTGGGTGGGGACGAGGGGGTGGGGGCCCAGAGGGTAGGTCCCCTCCTGTGCCAGCTCCCCCCACCCACCCACCCACCTACCCCAAGCTGGCTTTTTTTTCCCTGTTATTTGTGCTCTGGGAAAGCACGGCTGGGTTCCTGGAAAAGACGCCTATTACCTTGATTCTTGAGAAAAAGCAGCGGCCCTGGGACCTGGGCCTGCGCCTACCTAGGCCAGCCTTGGGGCCTCAGAGCGTCTGGGCCACACTGTCTGGGAAGAGGTAGGTGCCAAGGTCTCCCATCCCTCCCTTCCCCTCTGTGGGCACTTTGGGCGGTGGTGGGTGGTGGCAGGGATCCCCTGGGGGGAGGGTCAGCCGTGGCCCCTGTTCAGTGGGAGAACCGGTCCCGCCTGGCCAGCCCCTGGGACTAGCTGGGTCTGAGCTCCTCAAACCTGATTTGAGGAAGGGGGCTGGGGTGTTCCATACTGTCACCCCAGTACTCCCTTCACCTAGCTGTGTGGTGCAGAAGTCCAAGCGATGGGAGGGAGGGGACAAGGGTGAGCAGGGGCGCTGTTCTTTCTTTGCTGAATAACAGGGAGCGTGTGGGGAGGAGAGCAGTTTCCCTCCCAGTGAGCCACAGATCTTGAGAGGCAAGCCAGACACACAGACAGACACCTGGATGCTGGTGGTGATGGGTGTGCTCCCTGTGGGGAGGTACCTGGGGAGCCCCTTTCTTGCTCTTGGCTGGCCAGGCTGCGGTAAGAGCGAAATGCAGACTGAGGTTGGGGGGCAGGGCGTGGCCGCAGGCCTACCACTTGCTCCTGGCCACTGCTCGCTCCTGGGCCCTGCCGCAGGAGTGCTGGAGGGCCTGGAGGGACTGGAGGGGCTGGAGGCTGAGCAGATGCTCAGGCCCCGAAGGACCCAGAGGCGCCCTCTTGCTGGCTCTGCCCCTTTCTGGGCAGATGCGATGCTAGGTGTTTCCCTCCCAGGGGACAGTGTTGCCGGGGCCTGGGAGTCAGGGGAGCAGGGACAGGTGTAAGAGAAGGAAGGTGGCTGGGCTTTGGTAAATGGGGGGGGGGGTGCTGTTGTGTGTGTTCTGGTACACGTGCCCGGCTCAGGGAAGGGGGTGTCAGCATGTGACACGGGTGGGTGTGGGCAGGGGGCCAGGGAGGCTCTGGGGATGGGTGTGAGTGGGTGTGAGCGGTGCCGTGTGTCACAGTGGGGAGGGGGGGCCCTGCTGGCAGAGTGGGGGCGTGATCTTGCGAGCAGGGCGCCTGGGTTCTGCAACTGTGTGTCAGCGTGGGCTCCTGTGTGGGGGTGCGGTGCTGTGTCCACGTGTGAGCTGCCGGCCTCTCCATATGCTGAACACTTAAGTCGTGCTGTTCACCTCAGGGTGCAGGTCTGTAGGGATTCCTCTTTTGGAGCTCACGTGTGTGCATGTGTGCATGTGTGTGCATGTGCGTGTGTGTGTGTACCAGAATAGGGATCCCCTCAGAGTTCAGAAAGCTGAATTTGGGACACAAGACCCTTGTGTCTTCCCTCTCGATCCAGCCTCTGCAAGAGACACCACAACCCACCAGCTGGACAGACTATAGATAGAGGCCAGAGCACAAATGTTCTGAGGACCACTCGAGCCTGAGGGGCTGGGGGGAGCTTGGAAAGAGAGTCCTCTTCCTCTTCAGGTAGAGAGAAAGGCTACAGAAACCCAAGAGAGATCTAGGAGAAACTGGATGACAAGTTGCATATTTGTGAGGTGGGGGAATGCAAGGGGGTGCCTGCGCCCAGGCCTGCTGCCCTCAGGAGCAAAGACCATGCAGGGCTTGAGCAGGGGATTCTCGGACAGGGACCCAGACTCGGGGGCCCACTTGCCCCTGCCTGAGGCTCTATCAGAGTGTGAGAGGGTGCTGTGTAGTGTTGCCATTAGAGGAACCGCAACCCTCGTCCTAGCAGACAGAGCAGGGCTTTAAAAAGGGGGATGGGGAGATGGAGAAAAGGGGAGAGAGGATTTAGGCTTCAGGGGTGCTCCACGAACCCCAGCTCAAAGCTAGGAGCCTTCCCCTTTTCTCCCACACCCTACAGGGGCAAGCATGAGTGCGTCCTACACACACGCACACCCTCAGGCCTCCCGGGCTGCTGCTGGTCTGCGCCTGCCCGCCCTTCCCTGCTCCACCCTGGGATGGGATGCTGTTTTGGGAACTGGTGACCTAGCTGGATCCTGCCTTTATTTCTGGCATTGAACTGTTGCCACAGTAACTGTGGGGGTGGGGCCAGGAGCAGGACAGTGTGAAAGGGAAACAGAGCTGAGGGAGGAAAGATGAAGAAAGAGAAGAAAAGGGGAAGGGAAAGAAGAATTGGAGAAGGACCAGGGAGGAGGCAAGGCAGGCGGTCCCACTGTGAGTGAAACTAGAGAAAAGGGAGAGGGGCAACGTTCCTGCCCACCCTGACCTCAGCCCACTTGGACAGCTCGTTTGCCTCATTTCGTAACTCCCTTAGTGTCTGCACCACCAGTGTCCAGCCTGGCCTGACCCCACCCGGGGGCACAAAGCCTCTCGGCTCCTTGTCCACAGGCCAGGCTGGGGAGCAGGGATCTGGGTGGCTCCACCATGTCGGCCAAGTTCAGACTGAAGTGGGATCTCCGGGGACACACTGAGAAGCGTCCACTGGCTTTGACCCGAGACAGGCCTGGGTTGGAATTCCAGCCCGACTTCTCTTTGAGTGGCCGTTGGCAAGTCCTCCTCTCAGCTGTGGTTCCTGGGCTCTAAGTGGGGAGGGCGCTGGCCTGCCCTAAGGGTAGAGGGGATGCTTGAACGTCCCCACCTAGTGGCTGGCACAGCGGGAGCCCCGGTGGGCTTAGGACAGGAGGCCCCCAGCGGTGGTTCTCCCCAACCAGGGAGCCAGGGCCAGTCCTACCTGGCGCTTGGCTCTTATCACCCCCAGCCTGAAGCCCAGAGGTTCTAGTCCTTTTGGACATGCAGATGCCAGGTGGGGGTGGGGTGTGTGTGAGGTGGGGCTGGGCTGGTGGCTCTGATAAGGCCCACTGCTGGGGGGAGGGCAGGGGGGCGGTGCGGGGTGGAGATGGAGAAGCGAGGAGCCCCGCCTGTGAGGGGAGTGAGCCACCAGGAGGTCCTCTCCGCC